AAGCATCCAGCCACTGTGAAGTGAGGGAAGAGACACAAAAATGCCCAAACTTCCAAATAGTACCCATTTGATCTAGCCTTGATGGCTTGATAATCAGAACTTGACTAGCTGATTACCAAAAAAAAAAAAAAAAAAAAAAAAATTGATAAAGGAAAAAAATATAAATTGCTACAATTTGATGAACTTGAACTATACTTATAGATGTAATAGCTCAAAATACAAACTGAGAGGGAAAGAGTCCTCACATCATACTATCCCCTCTGTATACAGAGTTAAAAGGGTAAGGCAATTTAGACACTGGTTACCAAAAATGAGGGGTCTATAAAGGCACGAAGTGACTGGCTTACAAGTTTTAAAAAGGGATTTTAGTTTAAGAGTGTGCGGGGGAAGATAGAGTCCTCATTGAATAGTTTTCATCTTGTCTAGATGGGCCTGGTAAAATGGGCTGGGGATAAGATTCTTACAATTCAATAATGATTAATAGTTATCATGACTAATTGCTATTGTAACAACTTAGGCAGAAGTTTTGTAAGAAAAACAGGGGAGTAGTTAATCTTACAGTTCAGAAGCAGAGGACCTTAGGACCATCAAGGGAGAAGAGCATGAGCGGAATACGGGACTGTGTCCAGAAAAGCAGAAACACCAGAAATGAAGGCAGAAATGAGGACATGGAGAGAGACAGAGCAGCTGAGGACTCAACAAACATGGAAAGTGAAACACTGAGTGCTGGTGGTTGGGAGGCAGGCTTGCAGAATATGCCCTTTGGTTGTTTAAATTCTTATATATTAATGAGTCTTTTTGTGTACATGCCCTCTCCCTCCCCCCAAAAAATCAGAGGGTATAGACGCAAATACTGTTGAATGATGATGCACGGAGGGGACTGTAATCATTGCAATGAAATGATAAGTGTAAAACTAATGTTCTCCCATGTAAAATATCACTCAATTCACAATAAAAACTTAGGAAATAAAAAAAGAGAATATGACAGATTATTGAGAACAGCTGGTGTATGGAGAAAACTGAATGGGCAGAGAACATTTTCTGCTATTAGAACAGTGAGCAAAAGTACTTTAGGAATTGTAGAGCCAGGAGTGACAAGAGCACTCTCCCCCCAAGAAAACAAACAAACTTTTAACTAGAAAATTAATAAGAAAGTATTATTTAAAGTCTGTATAAATTTCCCTAAGGGCATACAAAAACTGGAGAAATATTTATTCAAGAATATCTAATGAATATTAGTAAGATTACTGAGACTTTGATATGTATGAATAATGATCTGATCTTTCCTCTTCTCATGTTCCATCTTTTAGAAAAAACTCTGATTTTACTATACTTGTATGAACGAGCAAGAAAAGAGGGGTTCCCTGTCCTGCCAAGTTCCAAAGAGGGCATTTTATTGTTGCTGCTGTTAAATGCCATCGAGTCTGTTTCGACACCTAGGGACCCTGGATAGGGTTTCCAAGGAACGGCTGGTGAGCTTGAACTGCTGACCCTGCAGTTCACACCAACTTTGCAGTCCAGTGCATTATCCCACAATGCTAGGACTTCAAAGAGGACCTACTGTTGTTAATTTTTCTATATCTGTGTAGTTTTATTCCTGATAGTCACATCTGAGGTGACCTGCTCTCCACAGATTCCTCCATTCTGCTCCCACTCAGAAACTCTACTCTAGGTGCAGCAATCTTTGAACAACGAGATCGTAGTTTTCATACCCAACTCATTAGTAGAAGTTCATGCTAGGAAAGGTAAGCTAAGAAACTAGAGACTATATCCATCAGCACCTACTGTAAAAAGAAGGTGTTATATCCAGAATTGCCCAAGAGTTACTCCTAAGAACTCTGTTTAAAGTGACTGGGATTATTTATAACAAAGTATTAATAAAATTCCATGATTAAATGCATTGTAATCAGTGGAGTGTTTAGAGAAAAATAAGTGTCTTAATAGTTTCATGCTACTAGTAGCAATATGCAAAACAGCAGAGAAACCCAACGTTTAACACAGAGAACCAAGAAAAGTGACAGCCAAGAACACTCCTGAGGTCACAGTAAACTATGGGTTCAGTAAGGGTGTCTGAAAGTTCTGATAAGTCATATGGACTCCAAAGAAATCAATGAAGGATGTGAGAAAAATTTGAAATCATTCTCCATCCCACAGATATTCGCAACAATTGTGCATGCTTCATTGATGCTAGTGGCTTAAAGACAATTTCAAATAAAACACTGTTTTAACAATAATATATTTTGACTCAGCAAAAGTCTTAGGGTATGAGACTTAACTATAGCCACATACTTTGGAAGGCAATTGTATGTCCAACGCTGCAACCTTTCAAGTATTAGTAAAAGGGAAAATTCAAGTTACTGATTCCTATTTGAATGTGAGACCAAAAGTTAAATTCCTTGAATTATTATTGTAGTCCTAAGGTCACACACACATCTAATAGAAAAGAGTAAAAATTTAACTCATAGTATGTCTTAAGCACAATATTTGGACAATAAATGGGTTATAGCTACCCAGAAGGAAAACCCCTAGATAACCAATCTAAAGTATTTAAACAGCAACAGCAAGAAAAACTGAACACAGCATCAGAGGTTGGACACACAGGGGAGACAGACTAAACAAATAAATGACTAAGTATGTAGCAACAGCAGTAGCATTAAAAAATGAAAGAAAAGGAAATTATTACCCATATATACAAAACCACATAAAAAAATATAAGAGGTAACCATAATCTGTTTTTCAAGGCACACATATGCTCAATTTAGCAGACAAACACTTAAAACTAGACATGAGAATTGTGTTCAAACTACTAAAGGACACCTTGTATAAATGTTAAAAAATAATAATTATATAGGTATCAAAAAGAGAATGTTGATAAACAGATCACATGAAAAATCTGGAGTTAATGTATAATAACTAAAAGAAAAAAATCACTACCAATGCTCCAGAGTAGATTCAGGCAGGCAAAATTAATAAGTCAGCAAACTTGCAGACAGATCAAGAGAGATTAGACAATCTGAAGAGAGAAAGCAAGGGAAATAAAAAGAGTAGTAGAGACATGTGGGCAGTATTAAACTCAGTAATGTATGTGTTTTAGAAGGATGAGAAAGAGAAACAAAGAAGCAGGGAAAAAAAAACATATGAAGTTATAATAGCTGAAACTTCCAAAATTTGATTTAAAAATAATCTACTCATACAAGAAGTTCAACAATTTCAAAATAGAGTTAAGTGCAAAGATAACAATACCTAGAAAGGTTATCTGTGAAAGACAATCACAGACAACTATTATAACAACCAACCTGTAGCTTAAGACAATGGGAAAACTTGAGTAATCACCCATAATTGATGGATTCCATTGGAAATTGTTAATTCTTCAAAATATTTAATATAGAGTTACCTTTTGATGAAATGATTTCACTGCTAGGTATATATGCAAGAGGATTGAAAACAAGGCTACTTCAAACTTTGTAAATAAATGTTATTAGCAGCATTATTAATATTTGTGAAAGGGAAAAACAATGCAAATATCTACCAAATGATGAGTGGATAAAAAATTGTGGTATAGCCATACAATAATATGGAATAAAAAGAATTAACTACTGATACATGTTACTACGTATATGAAACTTGAAAATATTGTAAGCGAAGGCCAGTCACAAATGACCACATGTATAATTATATTTATATAAGTTATGTATAACAGACATATCAGTAGATATTGAATATAGATCAATGGTTGCCTAAAGATTATCGTAGGGGATGGGGAGTGACAGGAAATGGGCAGTGGGTTTCTTTTTGTGGCAATGAAAATTACCTTAACTTACACTGTAGAAATGGTCTTATAAATCTGTGTGTATACCAACCACCAGTTGTAAAGAGAAAGAGATGCCAATGAGCTATTTTTAAATGCAATTTTTAAATGATGTACTGATTTCAGTGTACATTTTTTCAATGATTAAAGCATCAAGCCAAAATTTAGCTTTCAATAACAGATACGAGAATAATTATTTATTTTAAAATGTTGCTCTATTTTTTAAAATGTTGCCCTCTAGCTTATCATGCTGATGTATATTTAGCCTAGTCTTAAAAAATAAATTAAGATTTTTTATTACATTTGTCAGTACATAACAAACCTAAAAATACTGTGATTTCCAAAATCAATTTAGCCACAAATATTTTAAATGTCATCATTCTTTATATTAATGCTGGAAACTTTCTTGGTAATTTTCAGAGCTTCATACAGTGTGTTATAATGGTTTTATAAACAGTGGAGAAGGAAAATAAATCTTGAATTCTTTTTCATTTTGAAAATTGCATTTTTAGAAATCTCACTGTTAGTGAGCATAATGGATTATGAGTTGGGCTGCTAACCCAAAAGATCTGTAGTGTGAATCCATAAATTGCTCCATGAGGAAAAGGTGAGGCTTTTTGCTTCCTTAACGGTTTACAGCCTTAAAAACTATATACAGGGCCCAAATGACTCAACGACACACAACTATCATCACCTTTATCCTTGTGCTTATAGTGTAATTGCATGGTTCAGGAGTTCTCTGCAAAATTATTACTTATTTAACTGCCACAGGAATAATTTAGATCAATTTATTGATTTTTGAAAATAAAAGAAAAAAGCAAGATGAAAGAGGTGCTAGCGTATGTGTTCGCCATTATGTTATTATTTCGAAGAATGTTGTTCTTGTTAAGTGCCATCAAGTCAGTTCCTACTCATAAGCAACCTAGTATAGGGTTTTCAAGGAACTGTTGGCAAGTTTGAAGCGCCAACTTTGTGGCTCAAATTGATCTTGAGACAGAGTGCTTAGCTTATGGCACCACACCAGGACTGCATTTTGAAGAATAGCTACAATTTATTATTTTAAAAATTTCAAATTATGACTAATACATAAATATCATGATGCTCCATCTACTACTATTTGTGCATTAAGAAAAACAGAATTCATTGTCAAAACAATATCCTCAGCTTTTCTATGATGTTACAAGTGTCTTACCTTTGTCTTGGTAGGCTGATGAGGGGTTGTTTGTGGCACCTCTTGCTAAGGCTAAAGAGCTTGTGTACAATTTTCTGAGCTTTTAGGAAAAGTTGTTTCATGCTATTCTCCAGTTGCTCATAACGACGCTGAAAATTAGAATCCATTGTCCACAAATGCATTATGGTAGATGTGTTGAGGAAATAATTCATGGGTAGCCTTTTCATAAAGAACTTGAATTCATCTGAAAAATGTTAAAAATTCAACAATTATGAAAACATTGCTTTCCCCTCTGCACCAAAACATATTTAATATGCTACCATTAAGAATAAATTTTAAAAAAACTTTTATTTGTGGGTAGCAAATTAATATTATTATTTTTATGCTTTAGTATATTTTCTTTTTTTGCTTCTCTTAAAATAAAACGTCAAGGTGAATATAGCTAAAATGAAATGTTCTAATGCAAGCAAGTCTGGCAACAATATATTTTTTTTCTAAGAACTTTCCCTCATATTGTTGTTAAGAGCTGTCTAGTCTATTTCAATTCATAGCAACCCTGTACAGGATTTCTGAGGAGCAGCTGGTGGGTTTGAACTGCTTACCTGTCTTATTTTAACTCTCAAAGACCGTTTATATGATGAAATGAGACGCTCTACCTAGGGTGGCACTCTGGGTTAATGTGCTGGATGCAAAGTTGGTTTGAACCACAAGGTTGGCAGTTCAAACACACCAATCGCTCCTCAGAAACCCTACACAGGGTTGCTATGGTTTGGAATTGACTTGATGCCACTTAATAACAACAACAATACTAATATATAAATAACAATCCAAAATATACCTGTACCTAAACAAATAAGATACCTCAGCCTTTCCCCTTATCTGCCTTGCTTCTGAAATAAGTTTTAGGAATAAGGATTCAGGATATACATTTTTATTGCTTTTAATACTTGTTTAAAAGTTTCATTTTAAGATATCATGCTGCACACAATTTGCATGCAATACAGGACTGAGATAACTCCACTTAGAAACACACACACACACACACACACACACACTATAACCACAAGACTTGGGAAGGGTTTTCAATAATTAGTGGAGAATCAATGGACAATTCAATATAAATGCATTTTATTATCTGAGCTACTAATTATAGGCTATATGATATGCATTAAACTTCAGTCTTTCTGTGGCTTAATATCCTATCCAGTAAATTATATATAAAGTTTTAGACAACAATAATGTATTTAGTGTTAAAATCCTATAACGTCCTGTTGCTGTTGTCAAGTGCTGAGAATCATTTTCAACTCAGAGCAACAGGGTTTCAGAGGAGCAGCTGGTGAGTTGGAACAGCCAACTTTGCAGTTCAATCATAGCTGTTTTTAAATGCCACTAGGTTGAGCTTTTACGTTATTATTCAACTGAAGTTTTATAAGTAATCTTGCTGTCATTGTTTTTAAGTGTCGTCGAGTCCATTCCTACCAATAGTGACCCTGTATAGGGTTTCCAAAGAGCAGCTGGTGAGCTTGAAGTGCCAATCTTGTGGTTCAAAGCGACTTTGCAGTCCAGCACATTAATCAGAATAAGTACAGTCCCATGATACCCATACCGGAACACTTAATTGTGTTCATGAGGAATCTGTACCTGGACCAAGAGGCAGTTGTTCGAACAGACTGTGGGGACACTGAATGGTTTAAAATTAAGAAAGGTGTGAGACAGGGTTATATTCTTTCACCATACTTATTATATGCTGAGCAAATAATCCGAGAAGCTAGGTTATATGAAAAAAAATATGGCATCAGGATTGGAGGAAGACTTATTAACAACCTGCAATATGCAGATGACACAACCTTGCTTGATGAAAGTGAAAAGGACTTAAAATATTTACTGATGAAGATCAAAGAGTACAGCATTCAGTATGGATTACATCTCAATGTAAAGAAAACAAAAATCCTCACCACTGGACCAATAAACAACATTCTTATCAATGGAGAAAAGATTGACATTGCCAAGGACTTCATTCTTCTTGGATCAACTATCAACATTCATAGAAGCAGCAGTCAAGAAATCAAACAACATATTGCATTAGGCAAATATGCTGCACAAGACCTTTTTAACATGTTGAAGAACAAAGATGTCAGCTTGAGGACTAAGATGTGCCAGACCCAAGCCATGGTATATTCAATAACCTCGCATGCATTCAAAAGCAGGACAGTGAATAAGGAAGACTGTAGAAGAATTGATGCTTTTGAGTTATGGTGTTGGAGGAGAATACTGAGAGTGCCCAAAACAAACAGATCTGTGTTGGAAGAAGTGCAGCCAGAGTGCCCCTTGGAAGCCAGGTTGGCCAAACTTTGTCTCTCACGGTTCAGACATATTGTCACGAGGGACTAGTCTCTGGAGAAGGATATTATGTTTGGTAAGGTGGAGGGTCAGAGAAAAAGAGGAAGACCCTCAGTGAGATGGATTGGCCAAGTGGTATCAATGGACTCAAGCGTGACAACAATAGTGAGGTTGGCCCTTGATCGGCAAGTGTTTGGTTCTGAAGTTCATAAGGTCACTATGAGTCGGTACTGACTCGGTGGCACCTAACAACAACAACGATGCTCATGTACATTAATAGGTAATAAGAATACTTGTGGCACAAGTATACAGTGCCACAAGTATTCTTATTACCTATTGATGATACATGGGCATCATATGACTGTACAATATGTCTTAAAATGTGCCACTCACATCTGATAATTTAAATGATATTACTATATAAATATACAGTAAAATTTACATTTACTTACATATTAAAGCTATTTCAAATTCACATCATAATTATTTCATCAATGGTAGAAAATGAACCATTTTAACAATTCAGAATAAATTATACTCATAAATGTTGGAACTGTTTTTTTTTTTTTTTTTCCTAGAGCAAATCAATACAGAGCCCTGGAACCCTTTAGGCATTACAAATGTATATAAATTTGATCAGAAGAAGAAGCTATAATAAAACCAAAGCAAAGAAGTATATATTTTCATTTTAACAAGAAATATGGGGCAAGAGTTTAGAGAGCATACTTAATGCTCTTCAAATCACTTTTTAAAGTTAGCAGTAATATATGAATTTTAAAATTCCATTCTGACAGTATCCTAGATTTTGTTTTGTCCTATATGTCTCTTTTGAGAAATTCCCTCTTTTGAGTAAAGGAGTTGATGCATGAAAATTGGAAACCATCTCTTGGATTATGCACAGCGCAGATGCCACTACTTTGAAAACCAATAATTCATCTCATTGTCATCCTTTACTTGAACACTTTTGATAAGCTTTTATTGTTTTATGAGCATGCATATTTTAACTATTTTCATTCTTTCCTATAATACTTTGGAAAAGTTTCTAAGTCTGTAAGTTTTATTCAAGTGAAAGAACATTTTAAAGTGGAATTTATTCGCTTTACCAAATTACTCATGTATATAACAGTGAATGTCAGCTGAAAACTGTCAGTATGTACTTTCTAAGAAATAATTTTAACATGACATTTGAATAATTGCCTCATTATGAAGTCATTAAGAGTCACCACTGACAGTCATCCAAAACATTTACTGAACACCTGTTGTGCACAGACCATACAGATGTTTCATAATATGACAACAAGTATGAATAAACTTTTCATTAAAAAAAAAAAAAATGACTAGCTAATGTCATGCAATATCTTCAAATGTTAAAATAACACCTTCAGTGTGTGAGATCAGTTTGACTTAAAAGTTAATAGAATCATCAGAAATATTCTTGCTAATAATTTATGTTTTACATCCTGTAATTGGTAAAATTCATATTTACGGATTATAAATACAATTTCAATGATAAATTCAGAATTATTATATACTGGATCATAAAATAGATTGCATCTCAATGTAAAGAAATATCAACATACTTGCATAAAATATAATTACTAGTGAATGTAAAAAAAAATTTGTCCTACAATACTTTCCAGGGCTGTACAGGAAATAAATTCATGTTTTTATTCCAAATTATAAGGAAATAAAGGCTAGCTATACTTCTGAGGATGAATATATTTCTAAAAAAAAAAAGGTGTCAATGGTATGTGAAATCACCCATAAACATTTATTTCTAGGTTAATGAAGACATATTATTCTGCAACTATCTGTTTCTTAAATATGTATCAGTTGATTACTTTTGCTCAGAATAGTTTCAGATGTCAGAGAAATAAAATTGTAATAAGAAAAAAAATAAATAAATAAACAGTGTCTATGCTGAAAGGAACTCTGGTAGCGTAGTGGTTACAAATCGGGCTGCTAACCTCAAGGTCGGCAGTTTGAAACTACCAGCTGTTCTGTGGGAGAAAGATGAGGCTTTCTGCTCCCGTAAAGATTTACAGCCTCAGAAACCCTGAGCAGGGTCACTATGAGTTGGAACCAACTTGATGGTACTTAACAACCACAACAACAAATGCTGAAAGGTCACCACTCATCAGTTTATTGTACTATGGTAACTTGTGTGTTGCTGTGATGTTGGAAGCTATGCTACTGGTATTAAAATGCCAACAGAGCCATCCTTAGTGCACAGATTACAGCAGAACTTCCAGACCAAGACAGATAAGACCACTTCTGAGTGGCTGTTGTTGTCATCAGTAAGTACCATAGAGTCAGTTCTGAGTCACAGTAACCCTGGATAGAGTTTTAGAGGAGAGACTGGTGAATTTGCATTGCTGAACTTGCATTTCAAACCCACCTTGATTATCCTACATTACCACACCAATAGTTAGCCAGTGAAAATCTTATGAAGAGCAAGAAAACATTGTCCCTAAGCTTGGAAGGCACTCAAAATATGACTAGGGAAGAGCAGCTTCCTCAAAGTAGAGTTGACTTTAATGAGGTGCATAGAGTAAAGTTTTTTGCGTCCTTCATTTGCTGATGGAACACAACTCAAAATGAGAAGGAACAGCTGAAAAAATCCATCAATAATCAGAATGTAGAATGTACAATGTACAGATCTAGGAAAATTGGAAGTCATAAAAATGAAATTGAACATATAAAGATCCTTATCGTAGGTATTAGTGAGCTGTAATGGACTGGTATTGGCCATTTTGAAGTAGATAATCGTCATTTGTTATGATGGAAACAACAAATTGAAGTGGAATGGTGGGATGTTCTTCAACATCATAAAGAACATCTTAATATCTATCTTGAAGTATGATGCTATCTGTATTCAGATAATAACTACACACCTACGAGGAA